GCGCATAGATGGGTGGTTAAAGGAGGTGATGGAAGGCTGGTATCCCTGTAGGGGCAGAGTTAAGGTCATAGTGCAGAGGTGGGCAAACTACAGCCCACGGGCCACATCCGGCCCGCGGGACCATCCTGCCCGGCTTCTGAGCTCCCATCCAGGAAGGCTAGCCCCTGGCCTCTCCCCTGCTGTCCCGTCCCCCTGCAGCAACGCTGCCGCGCGGGGAGCACAGCTGCCTCCGCCTGGGCGGCGGGGCTGCGAGCTTCTGCATCTCTGAGCAGCATGGTAAGGGGGCGGAGGGTTGTGGGGGGAAGTTAGGGGACAGGGAGCAGGGGGCGGTTGGATGGGGTGGAGGTTCTGGGGGGGGACAGTCAGGGGATGGGGAACAGGGGCAGGGTTGGATAGGCGTGGGAGTCCCAAGGGGCCTGTCAGCGGGCAGGGGTGTGGATAGGAGTCAGGGGACAGGGAGCAGAGACAGTTGAATGGGGGTGGGGTCCCGGGGGGGCGGTTGGGGGTGGTCAGGGGACAAGGAGCCGGGGGGGGTGGTGGCTGGATGGGTCGGGAGTTCTGAGGGGGGTAGTCAGAGGGCGGGAAGTGAGAGGGGGTGGATGGGGGCAAGGGACAGGCTGTTTGGGGAGGCACAGCCTTCCCTACCCGGCCCTCTGTACAGTTTTGCAATTCCAATGTGGCCCTCAGGCCAAAAAGTTGCCCACCCCTGTCATAGTGCATGGTCTGTGGTGTATTCTTGGTGTGGTAATGGTAAGGTGTGTGCTTGTGAGTGGGGGTGAAGGGTATGTACTGTTAGGTGGATTAATTTTCCATTTCCTTGATTTTGTGGGTTAGTGTCAGGTAGGTTGTGTGTGTTGCATCCTAACTGCTTCACAACAGTTTTTTGTGTATTAATTTCGTAGGGTGTTAATACTTAACTGGGTTGGGTATTGGATGGGGGCGGACCTATGGGGGCGGGGGGTAGAAATGCAACAAGAGAGTATTTCATCCCTTGGCAGTTGCATGTTAGCCCTTCCCTGCTGTAGGAAAAAATCTTATAGAAGAATGTAGCTCCTCCCAGAGAAGCTTTTATGAACTGGCCCTCCCCCAACCCCCAATCAATCAAACTTATATACACCTGGCACCGCCGCCATCTACCAATCAGACTTGTGTATTCCTGGCCCCCATCAGGTTTGTGAGCTCAGTGCATAAACTTTTTGAGTATAGTGTGAATAAATGCTAACAATTACATAAGATTCAGCATTTTTCAAAAACAAACTCCCTCTTGCATCAGTCTTCTTCAGGGTCTGCCTCTCTGCCAAGTTATGTGGAAAAAGACAATGTTTTCAAAGAGATGTCTGTCAACAATGAAAAGTTGCTGCAGGGAAATTTTAGCCACAGCCCAAATTCAAAAGTTTCTGATTAAAAATGTATGAGGCGAACCGAAATTAAAACCTACATGGAAAATTCAAACAGCATAAAATTAATCCTGTGTGAAATTCACCCCAGCTGGCCACCTACTTCTAAAGCAGGGGTAGGCAACCTATGGCACGCGTGCCGAAGACGGTACGCGAGCTGATTTTCAGTGGCACACACACTGTCCAGGTCCTGGCCACCGGTCCGGGGGGCGCTTGCATTTTAATTTAATTTTAAATGAAACTTCTTAAAGATTTTAAAATCCTTATTTACTTTACATACAACAATAATTTAGTTATATATTATAGACTTATAGAAAGAGACCTTCTAAAAACGTTAAAATGTATTACCGGCACGCGAAACCTTAAATTAGAGTGAATAAATGAAGACTTGGCACACCACTTCTGAAAGGTTGCCGACCCCTGTTCTAGAGAGAGACAGGAATTTATGCCCCATTTTAGAATGCAATCCTAACTGTGGAGATAGCTCCTAAGCACGTGTAAGATTTTGCAGTTTCCGTGCAATAGATTGTTGTCAATTGTTAGAAATAAAAAGTCCTCTTAATGCCACCCGAGTGAGATGACTTTAACACTGACTTTAACAGCTAATTACAGTCAGGGCCAGCTCTAGGATTTTTGCCGCCCCAAGCAGAAACAATTTTGGCCACCCTGTTTTTTTCTTACCCCACCCCCGGCCCTGCCTCAGCTCCGCCCCTTCCCCAAATCCCCAGCCCTGCCGCTTCCTCCCCCAGGCTCTCAAGCCTAGGAGGGAGGGGGAGAAGTGGCGCGCGCGCCGCGGCCACTCAGTCTCTCCCCCTCCCTCCCAGGTTTGAGAGCCTGGGAGGGAGGGGGAGCAGCAGCGCGCGAGCGGCAGCAGCGGAGGTGAGCTAGGGCGGCCGGGGCACATTTTTAGGGGCGGCATTCTGGCGCCGGCCATGCTGCCCCTAAAAATGTGCCGCCCCAAGCACCAGCTTGTTTTGCTGGTGCCTAGAGCCGGCCCTGATTACAGTTCCTGCGTGTATAAAATGTAAATCTCTTCAGGCTAGATTGAGCCTTCAGGCTCAGCCCTGCATATGGGGCAGTGGGTAGCTTTGCTACTACAGGAGGAAAGATATTACGGCTCAGTCACAATTCCTCCCCTGCTACCTTCCTATGCTGAGCAATCGTGTTACTTCACCCTTTGTTGGGTTACTTACCACCACCCCTGTGTCTTGCCAGCTGAGCTGCCTGATGCATGGAGGGTGGAGCCAAGTCTTTGCCCCATCCCTGATATTCCCCACTGGCATCTCCTCATGCCCATTTGCTCACAGAGGTAAGGTGAGGGGAAAGTCTTATGTGCACAGCCTTGCTCCCTAAGCCTCAGTCAGAGAATCTAGTGTCTGGCTGTCAGGGGGACCCTACTTCCCTGGGTGGTCTCATAGGACTAGACAAAATCTAGCCCCATGTATTTCTGAATAGCTAACCCAACTACATGCAGGAGCACAGGGATCAGGACTGGAATATCATGTTTGTGTGACTTGGGAGGGGGGGAGGAGGGCAGATCTTTCCCGCTTACTGATTCTGAATCTGAAATCTTGAGAGCAGTAAGCAAATTAATACAAGAAAATGACTACTGGTGTGTTTAAATATGCATCATTGTAGAGGAGGAAATTAAACAATCAGAGACGCTTCAAAAAATTATTTTTACCTCAGTAAGTTTTAAATCAATGAAATGAAGTGGAGTTGTTCATCAAATAAAACTAAAGTAAAACTAAAAGATAGAATGCCAAGCAAATACATTACTACAGAATAAGGAAATAAATCAGAGAAGATAAACATTTTTATTGATGTTTATTGTTTAGGACTTTCTCTGATGCCCAAAGAGAAAACAGTGGATGGAATTCACCTTAGTACAGAGGGTTAGCACCATCTCCTCCATATCACGTTATTATCATTGCTATGAATCTGTATTTCAGTCACACCTAGAGGTCAACCACTGTGCCGTTTACAGACAAAGGCTGGGAAATGTTATCTCCATTTGGCAGACTGGGAACTGAGAGAAAGAGAGATTAAGTGACTTGCCCAAGGTCACACAGGAAGTCTAGGGTGGAGCTAGGAATTGACGCCAGAGCTCTTCAATCCCGGTTTAGTGCTCTACCCACAAGACCAACCTTCCCCTCAGTGCCCTGTATGAATGCTTATGGTGAAATCCCTTTATCCATATAAATCCCATGGTCTTTGTGTGAAACGAATTACCAGGCAAAATTCTCCAGCCTCTAACACAAAAAAAGGCTGTATAAATAGAATATATGCTTTCTATGAAATGAAGGAACTCTAAAAGTAATATTGTCCATTTTAATATTTAATTGAAAGCAATCCCTTGTAATACTGTATTTAAATATGTTTGCTTGGATGCATGTCAGGTTAAAATTACACTTAATAAGATAGTTTCAACAATTTTCTTTTGATTCCACCATCAGTTTGCTGTCAGCTGTCATAGCTGCCTAAAGTAAATATGCATTAGGAAACAGGAAAATTTATGACAGAAAAAACTGTGGGTAAATAAGTGGAGACAGAAGATAAACAAGCAAGTGCTGTAGTTTGGCTGTCACTGGATCAGTTGAGTTACAAGTAGAGTGTATTTTGTTTATCTTGATAGGAGATCTAAGCTTCACAAGGAATTTAATAGCAAATACTGAGAAGGTGGCAACTAGAACTTCATAGTACAGTTTGCAAAACTTGAATCTCGGACCACGTTCACAAAAAGGTTTGCTAAGAGGAACAGACTTTTCAAATGAACTTTAACCCTGTTTCAGATGACCCTGGCACAATATAAATTGAAGCCATGTATAACATCTGCTTTAACCCTGAATTTTTTTCTGGATGAAATTAGGTGAAACATAATCTTTGACTGAATTTTGCTTTGCATGTTTGGATTCATTCAAACCTGAAAATCAAATCAAAACTTCATTTGGTGCTGAAAGTTAGGAATTAAAACACTCACTCCTTGTAAGAAACAAAACATTCTATTATTATTATGGTTTAGATCTTGGGTAAACTTGCCATTACCCCAAGAGACCAGAAAGAGAAGTTTTTATAGGAGCAAAAGTGAAAGGAAATAAAACTGAGAGCAATAAGAGAAAATAAATCAGCTTTACAAGTGTGCTATAGACAATGACATGGGGGGTCCTGACGATGGAAAATCCACCTCTGGGGAACATTGTGGTGGCAGCAACTTTTCTACTGCTGGGATCATTTCTCTTACACCGATAACAGAACAGGGAACTGCCCATCTAGCACAGAGCTGTTTGGATTTGGATTTTGCAACTAGCATGAAGTAGCCAGATTCTAGGCGAAAATCCACTATTGGATACTGAGATTTTGATTCGCTGGGGGCTGGGATGAGATCACCAAATCTATTTCATTAGTGATATGAATCAGGGTTTGAACTTTTCCAAAAGCTTGGGAAGGCAAGAACCTTAACTGGCTATGTCACCTGTCTGAAATTTTTAAAGATCATTTCTCTGCAGTTGGCAATGTGTAGAAACGATGAGTCTTGGGAGAAAGAGACAGGAAGGTGATGGAAAGAAACGTTCTTCTCTAAAGATCTGATACCATCTATTGCAGGTCTGTAGCAGAAGCCACTGAAGTGGATCTCAACATGAGAGTTGGACTACACACAGGCAGGGTGCTTTGTGGGGTCCTAGGTCTCCGCAAATGGCAATATGATGTCTGGTCAAATGACGTGACTCTAGCAAATGTAATGGAAACTGGAGGATTGCCTGGGTAAGTCTCAGAGAAAAAATTCAGAGTCCCTGAATGAGAGCATCAATTATTTCTCTCTTTAACTGAAAGTATTTTGCAAAGCCAATTACTATATTAATTGATACATAAGGGTGTTTCAGATTAAGAACTCTCATAGGCTGTATTACCTGCTGTTCAAACATCTCCTAAGGAACACTAGGGTTGAGTGACCTGTAGATTTCTGTTAGTAAAGGTTCAGAGAAGTAAATGTGAACAACATTCTGTTAAAATGTAAATGTCCTTTGAATAAGCTTTTCACTAGAAACTGCCAAATATGAAGGGTAGGAATGAGGCAATGATAAAATTTTAGTCAAGAAAGAGCTAAATACTCCTCTCAGTAAAATGGAGTTACCTCAGTGTAATGGAGGGGAGGGTTTGCCCATCTCTGCCTCCAAATATGTGGCTTAGTATTACCATTACAAAGTCAGATTTTCAAAGTTAGTCATGCCCAATGCCATGCAAACATTAGTTTGTGCTTAAAATATGTATCCAAATACTAGGCGTATGTGTGCAAATCATGTATTTGCATGTGCTCTTGGAGAACTAGTAATTTAACTGGGTATGGGCACAAGCAGGTACTGAAATTTCAAGGATGCATTGAGCTTTCTTGAGTACAAGTTAAGTGCATGCAAGCATGTTAGAACACGACCCCCTGTATCAACTGGAGATTTGTTGGATTTTTACAAAACAATTTGTGTTCTGCTGAACAGGGAGAAGTGGGGCCTGCTAATTCTTGTGGGTAAGATGGGAAATTTCCTACTTGGCTGACATTTGTTTACTATAGATGATTTTGGTAGTTTAGTTTAGTTTGCTTTGGAAACTCTTCTCTTAAGGCATCACAATAAAAAGAATTTGAAAAGATATTTAAGAGAAGTAATACCTTTACAGTTAATTTCTATGAAAATGTTCCATGTGTAAAGGGCGACATAGAAGAAAGTATAAAAACAGTTACAGGAAAAATAGGGAGAAACCTAGCTGGCATTGTTGGGAGAACAGAATGGGTGGGGGCAGCTAATAAAATAGGTTGGCTAAATTGAGACCATCAGGGTTTGTCTACATGGGGACATTCAGGAAAATTAATCCAAATTAACCAACTGTGTGTATGTAAAGTGGATTAAACTTCATTAAACCCCTGTGTGGACCCTCTTATTCAAAATTAAAGTGACTGTAATTCAGTGTAGCTTATTTCACTTCCAAAGTGAATTAAACTAAACTGAATTAAGGGCACTTTAATGCTGATTTAGAGTGTCCACCCAGAGTCCTAATGTGGTTTAACTAATCCACTTTGAAAGTTAATTGAGGTTCAGTTTCCCGATTACACTTATGCAGACGAGCCCTCAGAGTTGTAAATGGACGGGAAAGTGAATACAAAAGCCTGACCTTTATATAGCAGAAAAGGAACAGCCATTAGTAAGATTTAAAGAGTGGGGTGGCATGCATCAAACAGAGGGCCAGTATCTCCAGCAAGTGCTTTAATAAATACTTAGAAAGCTAGAGTACTTGAAATATAACATGTATGCCTGTATACTTTGTAAAATCAACAAGACTGCAATTTGAGGTGATACTCTATAGTTACTTACATTTGTTCAAAGCATCTGCTAAATTTAGGAAGTTTATATGCTAAAAACACCTCTGCATTCTAGTTGGTTGCGAGAATTTAGCTGCCCTACAACAAAAGTTCACCTACTGTTTGTGCATGTAATTCACCTTTGTGTTGGCCCTCTGCACAGTGGTGGATTTCACCCAAATGAATAGGTCCTGGCTCATAATGCATCATTGCTTTAAATTCTTTTTTCCTGTCTTTCTCTCTAGGAAAGTTCACATAACAAAGACCACCTTAGAGTGCCTAAACGGTGACTATGAGGTAGAACCAGGGTATGGCCATGAAAGGAACAGTTTCTTGAAGAAGCATAATATTGAAACATTTTTTATTGTGCCATCCCATCGGAGGAAGGTAGGCTTCACTAATTCTAGCTTGTTCCATGGTGTAATTTCATAGTTTAACAAGTATATTGTGAAACCACCCTTAAAACAGAGGCAATATCTATATATATATTAACTATTGAGACAAGGTAGGTGAGGCAATACCTTTTATCAGACCAACTTCCGTTGGTGGAAGAGACAAACTTGTGAGATTCACAGAGCAATTCTTCAGCTCTGTGAAGCCCAAAAGCTTGTCCCTTCCACCAACGGAAGTTGGTCCAATAAAAAGTATTACCTCACCTACCTTGTCTCTCTCATATCCTGGGACCAACACAGCTACAACAACTCTGCAAGTAATGTCTTAATTATTAACAGTTCTTCAAACCGTCCGTGAAAATAGGATCTTTTATTTTGGAGGGAGGGGGACATCATACATGATTAGTTCTGAAAATTGATCATTCTCTGAAAAATAATCTACTTTTAAGTATGAACTGTCAGAAAAGCAGATGGTTCATTCAAACCGTGCAACTGTACTGTCAAATAGTACGTGATAAAATATCACCCCAGTGACTGAAGTTCATTCTTCTCTCCCTCTTTTCTTTTATATAAGCATTTCTGAACATCAAACCTTCCATCTTTGTACTTTTTGTTTGTTTGTTTTTGTTTTTTGTTCTCCCCTCTCCCATGTCCACATTTGGACATGTTTACATTCCCAATCATGCTCCCCTAACCCTTCCTACAATAATGTGTGATACTAGTGGCCCATTTACTAGGCCTGAAGGAGTCCCCAGGGGATAGAAGCAGCAAAAATAGTGATTACAGTCATGTCTTGCCTGCAGCAGAAAAGTAAGTGAAATGAACTCACCCATAATTGACCTAACATACCATGGGAGTTTGAAAAAGTTGCCATGTGAGCTCTACAGCACAGGCCTAGTTATCTAGGTCAGGGGAAGAAGCTAGAGTTAGCCAGCCCGGTTTTGAGTCCATATACCATTGCATCAGTGTTTGCTAATCATTCAAGCGCCTTAGAGCAAATCTTAAAAGGGTAGCACAGCAAATACTCAATACTCTGCCCAGTGTGTTCATTCTCCTCCTCCTGATGAGCTGAGCTGCTCCTGAGGCCTCAGATTCGTTGCCCCTGTTCATTCATCCACTTCAGCCACAGTCCCCACATGCCCTCAGTATCCCCCCCCCTCCAATCCACAGCCTTCCCAAAGCTCTGCTCCCCCATCCCTGTTCCCCTCCTCTGCCCCCTGCCAGATCTATTGAGATGTGGTGGGGGGTGAAGAGCAGGCTTGTGTGCAAAGAAGAGGCACTTGTGCTTTCCTGACCCTTCTCTAATACTGTAGAGAATCTGTGGCCCATTTGACAGCTAGGGCCTCTTTCTCTATAGTCAAGTAACGGGTCTCACCGGGGAACAGTTTTCGCCTCTGGTATAATATCGGATGTTCCTCTCTGGTGTCTCCTTGAGACAGTACTGCCCCGATCCCTACTTCCGATGCGTCCGTCTGCAGGATGAAGGGTTTCTGAAAGTTGGGATGGACCAAGTTCGGCTCCCGGGTCAGCCGTTCCTTTAATGCCTGAAAGGCTGCCTCACACTCCCAAGACCACTGAACTCTCTGGGATTGTGATTTCTTCATCAAGTCAGTTAGGGGGACCGCCAAATTCACAAAATCTGGTACAAAACACTGGCAATATCTGGCTAGGCCAAGGAATTGCTGAACCTGTCTCTGTCGTCGGCATGGGCCAGTTCTGCAGCGCTTGTACCTTCCCAACTAAGGGTCACAGCTCTCTGCTCCCAACAGTATAACCTAGGTATGTTACTTCGTTCTGCCCAAGTGGCATTTCGTTGGATTCGTGAGTCCAGCCTCCCTGAGCGCATGTATGAATTTAGAGAGGTGTTGAAGGTGGTCTCCCCAGCTGGTGCTATATATGACGATGTCATTGATATAAGCGGTGGTGTACTGCCCATGTGGTTGTAATACCCGATTCACGAGTCGCTGGAAGGTGGCCACTGCCCCATGTAGCCCAAATGGCATGGTTATAAATTGATACAGGCCAAAGGGGGTTGGGAAGGCCATTTTTGAGCGTGAGTTTGGGGTCAGAAGGATTTGCCAATACCCTTTGGTGAGATCCAAAGTAACCTCTCGAGGAGTTCGTTGACCCGCAGTATCGGGTAGACATTGAATCAGGATATACTGTTCACCTTTCTAAAGTCAATACAAAACCGGATGGACCCGTCTGGTTTCAGGACTCGGACTATTGGGCTTTGCCACTCGCTATGAAATCTATATCCATCAAATCTATATCCAGCATGACCTCCAGTTCTTACATCTTCTTGGGCAGAGGTCGGTGGAGGTTGCGTACCTTTTGTCCTGGTATGGTGGCAATATGAGCCGACAAGACATCTGGGTAGGACCACAGGAGTCTTTGCAGTTGCTCTCTCTGGGTCTGGACGAGTCCTGTTTCTATCAACATTGGCCCATCTTCAAAGGATTCATCAACCAAGGGTCCTAATTCTGGTTCAGGGGTGTAGGGTGTGATTAGTAAAGCCTCCCTGCTCCTCCAGGACTTTAGCAAATTGACGTGATACGTGCATGTCCTGTGGTGCCAGCCTGGCAGCTGGACCTTATAATTGACCAGCCCAGTCTACCACGTGACTTCAAAGGGGCCTTGCCACTTAGCCAATAGTTTGGATTCGGTTGAGGGCAGCAGGATTAGGACCTGGTCTCCTGGTTCAAAGCTCAGCAGCCTGGCTCCCTTGTTACACTGTTGTGCCTGAATCTGCTGCACCTGCCTCAGATTTTCTCTGGCAAAGGTCCCTACCATCTGAAACCTCTCCCGCAGCTATATCACATGATGGACAACCCCCCCTCGCCTGTGTCTCTTGCCCTTCCTGGCCCTCTTTCAGAAGGTTGAGGATATCACAGAGTGGTCTTCCATATAAGCGTTCGAAGGGGGAGAACCCCGTTGATGCTTGGGGTACTTCCCATATGGCAAACAAGGCTGGGAGTAGTGTATCCGAATGTTGCCGATCCTCTTCCACAAATTTGCGTAGCATGCTCTTTAAGGTCTTGTTAAAACATTCTACCAATCTGTCTGTCTGGGGATGGTATAGGGAAGTTCTGAGGGCTCATATATCTAAGAGATGGCAGAGGTCGGCCATCAATCGGAAAGTCACGTTTGTCCCCTGATCTGTTAAGATTTTGTGGGGTATCCTTACCCGTGCAAAGACCTCGATGAGCTCAGCGGCTATCTTAGGGGGCGTGGCAGTCCATATAATGGGACTGCTTCTTGGTAGCATGTCACGTAATCCACTATCATGAGGATATACCAGTGGCCAGAGGAACTGTTGTCTAGTTGGCCTACCAAGTCAAGTCCTATTCACTCAAAGGGGATCCTAACCACAGGGAGGGGATGAGGGGCCCTTTCAGCACTCCTTTTGGGTCCATGCATTGGCACTCTGAACATGAGGCACAATAATTCTTCACCTCCTGGTGGATATCCAGCCAGAAGAACCACCGTACCACCCGTTGGAGGGTCTTTTCTCTTCCAAGGTGCCCTGCCCAGAGCACCAAATGGGCGAGGTGTAAAAGACCCTGGCGCAACCTCCGAGGGACCAGCAGCTGGCGAAGCAATTCTCTAGTATGTGGCTCTTCCACCAGGCGATAGAGGTGGTCATGCCATATTTTGAAGCATGGGCCTTGGGGTTTTTTGGGGAGCACCCCTCCCCTCTTGATCTCTAGAGGTAGCCTGCTCCCAGGCATGACTAAGCGTAGGGTCCTCTCATTGTTCCCAGATAAAGTTGCCATCTTGTTCAAGCTCTGTTCGTGCATCATTGACGGAGGAGTCTGTTGGTGTAGGCGGGGGCACCGAGATCATGGCAGACTTGGAGGGCCCTTCCCCTGGGTTGGCATCCCGATCCCTCACAAGTAGCCCCTTTTTTGTTGGCCCTTCGTCTTCTCCTGTCGGACGGTACTGAGAGGGCTCTTGCAGTAGTTCTAGGAACCACGGCCAGTCCCGCCCCCAGAATCACTGGATAGGCCAGCTTAGGAATCAAGCCTGACTGAGAGGGCCGTGCTTTGGTGGTATATCTCCAGCATCACCCGGGCAGCAGGATACAAATGTAGGTCTCCATGGACGCATTGGATGTGGATGGGGGACCCGTCTGGCTCAAGGTCTGGTACCAGGTCGCCTCGGATGAGAGATTGGCTACAGCCAGAGTCAATCAGTGCTGTTGCAGGAACCCCTTCTATGAGCACCGGGACCTGGAGCTTCTCTGGGCCCCTCTTCCGAGCCCAGGAGCTGGCTACCCAGAGCTGCCCGTAATTGCAGTCCATATAGGGGCCATCGTGTCGGAAATGCCCCTCTTGACCACATTCATAACAACGGTCTCGGCCCCTCTGGGTAGCGAGTCCATTCTAATCGGGTTGGCTCCGATGAGTGGGCTTTCATCCCACCGTGTAAGGTCTCGAATAGCAGTCGGCTTCAGACTCATGTCAGTGTTCCTGGTCGGGGCTCTCGACAGGAGTTGTAGTCCTCCCAGTGGGGCCGGGAGGGGTTTCCCTTGGCTGGCCGGTCTTTCCGCCCAGGTTCCTCCATCTTATGGGGTTGGGATTCCGTAATTTCGGCCACCAAGTAATCCTCCATCAGTCCAACCGCTTCCGTAAGCGTTACAGGGCAGTCTCTATGCACCTACTCCTTCCCCCTGTTCTGGAGGATTTGGGTGAACTGTTCCAAAATTACCGCTTCTGCCAGTTGAGCACCAAACCGCTTGTCAGGCTTTAGTCATCGCCAAGTGTAGTCCCGGAGACACTGAGCCACCGCTCGTGGCCTAGCCCCTGCAGGGTACCATTTCTGATTAAAGCACTGGCGGTATGTCTCGGGGCTGATATCGGTCTGGTCTAGTGTGGACACCTTCACTTTTTCATAGTCCACGGCGTCCTGGTGGTCAAGGTTGCGATAGGCCACCTGGGCTGGCCCCGTTAAGTAATGGGCTAGAAAGGTATCCCACTGTCCCTGATAACGCCG